TTCCACAAGTCTTAACATACAGAGGAGGTCATTTTCAATCCACACCACTCTTGTTCCTTCCACTCCCTTCCTCACAAAGCTCTGCTTCCCAGGGGAGCTTCTCCCCTTTGTTGGATCTCATTCCCCTTCTCCTCCATCTGGCAAAATCCTACTTTGTACAGACCCAACTCAAACATCAGTTACTATGCAATGCCCTTCTTGGACTATTCTCAATCAAGTGCTAAATCCCCATCAGTCTTTTATTTAGTCCTTTTTTATTATGCTATGACGGTTGAACCTCAGTTTACCCCATTAGACTACAAGTTTCTTGTTCATATTTGAATCCTGATGGTTGCCACAGAGCCCGAGCTTGACAGAAATGCCAGAAAGTTTTATTTATTTAATGCTTATCTTAATTATCTAATGACCTTTAACATACTACTTTTATCCCACGAGTTCACATAGTACTTTTACCCCAGGAACTCCCATTGCATTTCAAAAAGGAAAAAAAAAAAAAAAGGTCTGGTAAGGCTGGTTATTGCCGGCATGGTTCTAAGATGGATCATCCCTTTTTATCCTCACAACACCCCTATGTAAGTCTATGAGATACTATTAATTATCATCTGCATTTTCATCCCAATGAAGAAACTGGAGCAGAGAATTTTTAACTTGCCCCAGGTCATCTGCATTGCAGAATGCCCATTCTTAACCATTAGTGCCTAAATGTAGGCCATGAACATGGAAAGATCCTGGGTTAACTACTTAGTTTTTTAAAAATAGAAAGAAATAGAATATTTAACTTGAGACCAAGGATTATAGCTCAAGAAGAGAATAATCAATTAAGGGTCTTTGGTTATAAGATACCACTTATACAGAAGCAAATGGGAATAAAACTCTTCATTGTAGATTCTAGGATTCATTTCCATACTCCTTCAGTTTTTTAGTGCCATAAGTACAAAGCCAGAGCCCTACATGAATCTGTATCATAAAATTCACTGTGAGCCAAAAGGACCAACATTCTTTTTGTTCACACACAGTAGTAAACCATCACATAGATTACTGTGTTAGGAAAGAAAAGGAAACAAGTGATCTTTCAACCTAAATAGTTTATAATAAATTCTATTCTGGAGGTACTGGGTCACTCTTCCTGGAACTTTAACAAATTAAGTAGATAACTCCCACTCAATCTGTCCCTACATTTCTTAAGGCAGTACCAGTATCAGGTAAGCGACACACGGAATGTCACCAAGGCAATTTGTCTACTTCAGTCTGAGAAGTAATCAGGTGATAGCAGATTTCCTAAGACATCTATATGACTTCAATAAATTTGGTAAATTTTTGACAAAGATCAGAAGTAGATCCTGCTGCTTTTTTCTAGGAAACAAGAATGAATTTTAGTTCTGGTAGGACACCTTGAAACATTTCTAATTATGCTTTTTCTTAATGAGCACTGGTGATTGCGATGGTGGAGATGGAGGTAAAAGTACCTCAACCACCATTTGTTAAGATGTTATCACTACCAGGCACAATAGGTACACCATTCCATTCAATTTTCCAGACAACCCACGGCAAAGTGTAATCTTCCCTATTTCACAAATAAGGGAACTATGACTTGGACAGATTGAGTAATTTGTCCAAGACTGCCCAGCTAGCAAGTGGCAGAACTGAGATTTGAATCTTAGCAATTATAACTCCAAATCCTGAGCTCTTTACTCCAAAGTCAGCATTTTTCTTGTCCAAAATGAGAGCTTGAAGATAAGTAATAATTTAAATAAGTAATATTCCTCATCTGTAACTTCTCTGGAACAATAGGTTCTGATCTGAACGACTGCCAATTCCTCACTAGCCAAGAGCTCCTCCTTCCTGGACAAATATGAGACTGATTATAAGGAACCTGAATGTCTGCACACCAGCTGCACTAACACCGAAGGCCCTGAGGTGATTATTCACACATGCAAGAAGGCCCACAGAAAAATGGGGTGTGAGTCAAGCAAAATCTCCAGGGTCCTGAGGCAAAATAGGTCTCTTTCAATGTTATATCAAGGAAAAAATGTTTGAAGAGAAACAATGAATCCAAAATATATTTATATCATGTCCTGGAAAAAATAAAATAAATAAAACATGAAATACAGATGAACAAATTAAATCTCAAAGTTGGAAGATCCTTACTCAAAATATGTAGACTTAACATTAGTACTGAAAATTATGTGCTATGTTATATATCCATACATTATATAGAAGATACCATATGGTGGCCAGGGGTAATATAAGGAGGCAAAAATTGAAATAATACTTTTCATTTTTTTCAAATCACTAAATTTCTAGATTTATAATGGAAAATGTCTGTATTGGTTACAAATTACCCCCAAAACTTAGGGGCTGAAATAAACATTTATCATCTCAGTTTCTGTGGGTCAGGCCAGCTGGGAGTGGCCTAACGAGGTGAAATGGCTCAGGGCCTCTTGCCACATTGCAATCAGGAGTCAGCTAGGGATGCAGTCATATCACAAGGCCCAACTGGGGCCAAGACCCACTTTTAAGCACTCCCATAAGGGCGCCTTACGATATGGCAGCTGGTTTTTCTCAGGGCAAGTGATCCCAGAGACAATGAGAGCACCCAAGACAGAAGCTGTGGCCTTTAATCTTAGAAGGGACATACCATCATTTCTGCCATGTTAAACTCTTTGGCAGCAGTTGACCAGGTCCAACTGACACTCAAGGGGAGGGAAATACACAAGGGTATGAATTCTAGGAGTTGTGAATCAATGGGGGGCATCTTAGAAGATGCCTCGGGGTGCCTGGGTGGCTCAGTTGAGTCAGTTAAGCATCTGACTCTTGGTTTTGGCTCAGGTCATGATCTCAGGGTCATGAGATTGAACCCCACATTGAGCTCTGTGCTCAGTGTGGAGTCTGCTTGAGGTTCTCTCTCTCCCCCTGCCACTCCCCCTGCTCCTTCTGCCCCTCCCCCTGCTCTCTCTCAAATAAACAAATCTTAAAAAAAAAAAAATAAGCTGTATTCCACAACCTCTTTTCTGTTTTGATTTAAATCCAAAGACTAAGTGATTTGTGATGAGAGACATATTACAAAGGGCGGGGATATAGGGTGTGCTTATCTACCACTCGTCTTTATTTTTTTTCCATTTCAAATGTTTAAATGTCTCTTCACCCAAATGGGCATAGTGAACAGAACTTTGCTCCCTCCTTATAAATATTCTTATTCCTCTCGATTTGTTAGCTGTTCACTCAGTCAGGTGCAGGGAACAGTCTTCCAGAAGATAGGGTAGAATATGATTTTTAGTCTCTAAGTCTTACTTTCCATTGATCTCAGCATATATACATACTTTTGGTAATATATATATACACATACATACTGCTTGTGTTTTAGAACACAATCATAAATTAGAATGCAAAATGTCAAGTTTGATTAGCAAGAAATTTTCAGAAATCTATTTAAGAGAAAAATTTCACTATTTTTATAATATGCCATAGTCCTCCTTAATAAACACATTAAAAATGGAAAAAAGACTTGTATAAACTTTATTACATAAATCTGATGATGGAATTAAGTAAAATAAAAAAATTATAGCACTTCTTTGTGATGTCAGAATGCAAATTACTTGATTCCAATTAGACAGTATTTATAGTCAGCAGTTCCTAACTACTTTTCCTGTACTGCTTACCTATTCAAAGCCTAATGTATCCTCCTCAAAGTATTATTAGGGAAAAAATAACTTAGATTTTTTTAAAAATCACTTATTTTAGGTAAACAAATGATTAAAAATGTATTGTGTGTTCAGTTTATCCTAGTTCCTTATAAACATTTTTCAAACTGACTACTATCAAATTATTTTTATACTGTTGCTTAAAGGAAGTTGCTTGAAATGTTCACCAATAGAATACCTCCTCTGCAGACTCTCAAAAAAAAGGCATTATCCTCAATCTGCTACTTTGAGAAAGACAATCCAGGCTATAAAAATGTCACAATTAACAAGTTATGATTGTTGCTGAAATGATTTAATTAGGATTGGCTGAGCTCTGGCTCCATGGAAGGACTCTGCAGTGGCATGTGCTTTTATACACAGCCCTCAAAGCCTCCCAATTATTAGCTATAAAAGGGATTTTAAAAACCTGATTCCAAAAGGCATCTGCAGTAGTCCCTTAAAAGAATTTAGATCATAACAAGCAATCCTAATTTGGTCTTGTGTCACTACCTCAACAGCTGACTCTAAAAGAGTATTTCCCACACATGGCTGTATCTTGAGAGGCTCTTATTAAGACTCTGAATATCCTAAAACTTGAGTGTTGCCATCATTTTTGCCAGGGCTAAGGGCTATAATATTATTTCTTTAGGAGTAACTTGTAAGTTATAACAGATGAGTGAGGGCGTGGGGAGGGTGACTATATACTTGTGTTATTTATTACCATTAACTGCTTATCTAATCAGAACACATGCAGGAAGAGAGCACTACAGGTGTGTTTTCACAGAGCAGAGAATGAAGGGAAAGGCTTGTGGCTCTGGCTGAGAGAACCACTGAAGAGGCTGCCCAGGGGAGCAAGAGGATCCAAGGGAACCTAGAGAGTCAAGCCCAGTGAAGAGAAGGCATGGAAAAGGAGAGGGATGGGGAGGATAACAAGTATAAAAAGACAGGCTTCTTGGGCGCCTGGGTGGCTCAGTTGGTTAAGCGACTGCCTTCGGCTCAGGTCATGATCCTGGACTCCCGGGATCAAGTCCCGCATCTGGCTCCCTGCTCGGTGGGGAGCCTGCTTCTGCCTCTGACCCTCCCCCCTCTCATGTGCTCTCTCTCTCTCATTCTCTCTGTCTCAAATAAATAAACAAAAAAAATCTTTAAAAAAAAAAAAAAAAAAGACAGTCTCCTCATTTTCTACTTTTGCCCAGGATTGGTGTTCAGGGGCATTTAGAACAAAAACAAAGTCTAATAGCACAGGGGTCTTGGAACTGGGAAAGGCAGGAAGAGAGGCAAGAAACCCTAATTCCAGAGGCTTTATGCTTATTTACTTACTGTCTAGTCTTTTCACACCATCCCTTAATCTGGAAAAAAAAAAAGAATTATGTTTACATGGTGTGCTGTGTAAACATAAGAGCCTTAACTAATTTTTGATCCAGTTTTTGATGTCTGATCTATTACAGAAGTGGTTTGTATTTATGTTTTTTGTTCTATATTTAGACTACAGTCCAAAGATTTCTGCACTACAAAAGGTACACAGACATCATTTTAAATTTGTCTAGAGTTCAGGGGAAAAACACATGCATATATCACCACCTTTTTACAACTAGGATCAAATGTCAGGTACAGATATACTTAAGTTTCCTTAATCTTGATAGAACAAGTAAATAAATCAAAATTAGATTTGACTAGATTAGAAACAAGACCCATTCTCAAGTGACCAGTGATGTCAGGGAAGCTACAGTGTCCTGATTCTTTATTTTTTCACATGGACAGAGGGCTATGAAGGTAATTCAAGTGAGAAAAAACCTTCTGAAAGGCCCTCTCCTCCCCCCAGCTTTCAGTGTGGGAGGCTGAGAAGACTTACATTCTAGCAACAGAGGGGGTGTGATTTATGATTGACTGCCTAACAAACTACTCTTAAATAGACTGGCTTAAAAGTAGTTTATGATCATGATACTCTGCTCATGGCTTTTCAGTTTGGCACCTTGGGCTGGGTTCAGCTGGATGGTTTTTCTAGTCTGAACTAGGCTCACTACATCTGCAGTCACTTTTCAAGTCAACTCAGGACAGCTGGTCTAGGGGAGCCTCAGCTGAGATAGTTCATCTGTTCCATGTGGTCTCTCATCCACCGGCCAGTGGGGCTAGGCTAGTTCCATGGTAGCAGCAAGGTTCTGGGAAAGTAGTTAGAAGTGAACAAGGCCTCTTGAGGTCCACACACACATCACTTCTACCACACTCTATTGGCAGCCCAGAGTCAAAGCGTAGGGAAGAAGATTCCATTTCTAAAAGGGAGGTGTTGCAAAGAATTGTGGCCATTTTTGCAATTTACCACAAAATCTTTGAGGAAGATTCTGTTTAGGAAAACATACCCATTCTATTGGGCCAGAATACCTAGTAATGTTAAATCAAGTGCCCCCTCTAGAAAACCTAGTTAATATAGCTTTGAATCCTTCCCATAGTGACTAGCACATGGTACCTACTCAAACAAGTACTGGAAACGATTACTTAAAAATGTTTACTTTTGGGTGCCTGGGTGGCTCAGTTGGTTAAGCGACTGCCTTCGGCTCAGGTCATGATCCTGGAGTCCCGGGATCGAGTCCCACATCGGGCTCCCTGCTC